ATCCCGGCAGCAACAGTGGGTGAGTAGTATCCAGTCGGACAAGAACCTAAAAGCCAGCGCGTAACTCCGATCTTCCACCCCCCCTCCCCGTCAGGTTCCGGCAGCCCCCGGCGGCATAGATGCGAGAGCAGCAAGGTGGCGCGCCAACAGTAGCCAGAAAAAGGAAATCAAAACCGGCGCTAAACACCGGCGATACCAGCCAAAATCAGAATCCCAAAACCAACCCCATACACTTTGCCAGGAAGAATACCCCATTAATCGTTCCAGGAGCTCCCCACAACCCCAAACCTTCCCACAATCGTCACTCCCTACCCTCTCCGGAGGCCAAGCGCAGTGGTAATCAGTCTATAGTCAAGAAAAAGTTCTGGTCCAAAACAGGGGAACCTTCCGGCAAATAGCGAAGAGGAAGGTCATCGGGGCAAAGGAGGTATGGCCGGAAAACAAATTCAGCCAGAAAGCAGGCAGGAAGAGGAGGCCCAAACTAGCACAGAAGTAAAATGGCTAACCTGGTTGACGAAACACGAACGGAGTTCAAGTTCATTGGAGGTAAGCTACGGAAAACAACGTTCGCACTCAGCAGCAGAGATGGAACGGCCCTTCATCTGCCGGACCCCGATTCATCTTGGCAAGCCCCCCACTTCCTCAGAATACCAAGAGCCCACAACCGACCGGCGCCTTGTCGAATAACGACCAAGAAGCTGCAAACGCCGGAGAGTTTTCACTCCGGTTGCGACAGAGGAAGGCGCGGCCCCTCCAAAGCATAAACCAGTAGGAAACCTATCGGACCCAGGTCGGCCAGACAAGATCCACGCCAATAGAGCTCCATCCACCGAACCAGCGCCGAAGCCTCCATAGTTTCCGGCCAAAACCTTCGAAAGCATTTCGCAGCACCAAAACCATTCAAGCCACCGAAGTGGAGGAGAAAGCACCGCCTAAAGACCAAACTGGAAACCAAAGACCCGCCGGAGCCGGGAGGGCTCCGGCGACGGCGGCCCCTGCAAGTGGTGGTGCCGACCTGGCGGGAAAGAATAGCCCGATTGGCTAGAGAGAGACTCTCTCAACTTTCCCTTCAGGCTCCTCAGGCGCTAAGGGGCGCTAAAAAAAAACAATGACTTCAATGTTTGAGGGCTAGGCCTGTGAACTATTATGCTTTTCCAAAAGATTTGTCTATTCGATGAAATGGTACTTATAACTTAATTGTTGTACTTCTTAGATATAAACTTCATTTTCCCACTTTTTTAAAAGAAGTTGCCAACTATATTATAAACCCGGCTGAGATGGACACTATGGAAAAGATTTGCAAAGTTTTGATATTTTTTAATAACGGAACTCTAACTTTTAGTCATGTTTATAAACCTACGGCAAACCAATTTTTTGTTGAAGCTGTTAATCTCGCCGGTGCATTTTTGTGAATTTCAACAAGCTGATTACATTCATTATTTTTGTGATTACATGAAAGACAAGTTTTTAAAATATTATACATATATTCCGCATATATGTGGTATTGCCTTTGTTCTTGATCCTCGTTTCAAACTACATGCTTATCAAAATTGTATAGAGTACTATTATACTTGTTTTTTCGGTCCATTACCTATGTAAGAAGAGAGGCTCATAGATCCTAAAGAGCAATACAACAAGGTGAGTAACTTATTTTATCAATCATTTAATGAGTTTCATGCACATTATGCTAAGGCATCCCCTCCTCCGAAACCAACTACTTCTTCATCTAAAGGAAAATCACTTTTCAAATCTACATTTTGCAATCTTAAGAAGAAGAAAAAATCAACTCTCACTGATGCACAAAGCTCGATCAACTCCGACCGGACCCGACCCAAAGCCCGACCGAGTAGTCCGAACTGACCCGGTCCCGGTATATAATCAGGCCGGTACCGGGATTGGTTTTACCAGACCCGACCCAGAGCCCGACCCAGTCCACCACTAACCACCGGGGCCGGTTAGCTGTGTCTGGCCCCGGTTTGGAGGAAGCGTTTTAGATGCCAAAGGACATATTCCCTGGTTCCAATACGAATGTTCCCAATATTATTTTCAAGGCAAATTCTACTGTAACATCACGGTACGGTACATTGTTGTATAGACCAATTAGAAAGTTTGTTACTCGGGCTGGGCCAGACCGGGCTTTTTTTGGGAGAATTCAGGCCCGGAAATGGTCCGGGTACCTACCGGGTCCGATTCGGGCCGGGCTACCCGGCCGGGTAGCGGGTCGGGTACAGGTCGGGCCGTGTTCGGGTAAATTTTTTTTCAAATTAATTCAAGAATTGTTGGATATAAAAAAGTTAAAGTATATTTATTTATAATATGTAGTACAATTGAGAATTGAGAAAATTTTAAAACATGAATTACATTTTCTAATAAATAATAATCAATCAGAATCTCCGCCATCTTCGGTTGTTTCCTCCATAAAGTGGCGGGTGAGGGCGATGCACACTTCTTGAGTTTTACGTTTCGCCTTCAACCAATCGTGGAAGCAAACAAGCGTCTCAAGAGAGATCGCGCTCAATCTCATTCTATAATCTATACGTTAGCACGTTGTCGGCCACACTAAATTCTTGTTCCACGGCAACTGTTGATACCGGCATTGCTAGCACTTGCTTAGCCATATTTGATAAAATCGGGAACGTTGTGTCTTTTTCCTTCCAACACTTTAGAACGTCAAAGTCATCTCCTTCTTCATAATCAACAGGAAATGTTAGATACAAAGAAAGCTCGTTAATTGAGCTTTATTCATTAACGGGAGTTGAATTACTTTTTTCATAAGATTGCAAATGCAGATTTAAAAAGTGATTTTCCTTTAGATGAAGAAGATGTTCGTGTCGGGGGAGGGGGTGCGTTGCCATATTGTGTATGAAACTCATTAAATAAGTGATATAATAAATTATTAACCTCTTGGAATTCTTATTTAGGGTCTATGAGCTTATCCTCGTACATAGGAAATGGACCAAAAAAGAAGCATAATAGTAATCTAAACATTGCCCCAAAGAATCAAGTCTAAAATGAGGATCAAGAATAAATGCAATATCATATATATGCGGAATATGTGAATAATATTTTAAAAACTTCTCTTTCATGTAAGAACAAAAATAATTAACGTAAGGGGCATCGGAAAAGTCACAAAAGCGTCGGCAAGATTAACAGCTTCAACAAAAAATTAGTTTGCGGGATCAACAAATTCAGTTAAAAGTTTGAGTTGCATTATTAAAAAACACCAAAACATTCACAATTTTTTCCATAGTGTCGATGTCGGCTAGGGATGGACCAAACCGGGCCGGGCCGGGCCGCCACTGTGCGGGCTCGGCCCGGCTCGGTTAAGGAAAGGGAGGTTCGGGCTTTGACCCAGCCCGGGGGAGGGGAGCGGTTCGGGCACGGTTCTGGAAATGGGAGGCCCGGCCCGGCCGGTTCGGGCTAACGGCTAGTTTTTTAAAAAATATCTTTTGGCCATCCAAACAGGCCTTAGAGCCGTTGTGATTGAACCCAAACGGCTATATAGTAATTTATAGTGGTTGAACCAATTTCAAGAGGTTAGTAATTTATTATATCAATTATTTAATGAGTTTCATGCACAATATGGTAACGCACCCCTTTCCCCGCCACGAACATCTTATTCATCTAAAGGAAAATCAATTTTGAAATCTGCATTTGGCAATCTTATGAAAAAAAAATCAACTCCGGTTAATGAACAAAGCTCGATCAACGAGCTTTCTTTGTATCTAACATTTTCTGTTGACTATGAAGAAGGGGATGACTTTGACGTTCTTCAGTGGTGGAAGGAAAAAGAGAGAACGTTCCCGATCTTATCAAAGATGGCTAAGCAAGTGCTAGCAATGCCCGTATCAACAGTTGCTGTGGAACAAGAGTTTAGTGCGGCCGGCAACGTCCTAACGGATTATAGAACGAGATTGAGCGCAAACTCTCTTGAGACGCTTGTTTGCTTCCACGATTGGTTGAAGGCCAAACGTAGAACTCAAGAAATTAGTATTGAACCCACCCGCCACTTTATGGAAGAAAGAACTGAAGATGGCGGAAATTCTGATTGATTCTTATTTATTAAAAAGTGTATTTCGTGTTGTAATTTTTGCTCAATTTCCAATTGTACTACATATTTCAAATTAATACAATTTAAATTTTTTATGTCCAGCTAATCTGAATTAAAAAATAAATAAATAAATAAATAAATAAATAGCCCGGGCCTGGCCCGAACCGGCCAGGTAGGCCCGACTCGGACCGGACCCGGTATCACCTCGGGCCGGTTCCGAGCCCATGATTCTACAAAAAAAGCCCGTCCGGGCCCGGGCCAGAACCGGACCGGCCCGGGTCCATCCCTAATGTCGGCCGGGTTTATAATATAGTTAGCATATTCTTTATAAAAAGCAGAAAAATGATCTTTGAATCTAATAAGTACATATTGAGCGCGAACTCTCTTGAGATGTTTGTTTGCTAACGGCTATAGAGCTGTTTGGGAGTGTTCCAACGGCTAGGAGGAGGTGGCATTTGTTTATTTTTTATTTTTTAAATTTGACCGTTGAGGCCCGTATCGGGCCCGAACCGGCCGGGCCGGTTCATGATTTGGAGACCCGGCCCACGAACCGCCCCATAACAGTACCAAGCCGGGTGGCCCGAACCGAGCATAGACCCGGGTACCGGGCCAGGTCGTAACAGTACCAAGCCGGGCCGGTTACGGGCCAGTTGTCCCGGCCCGAGTCCACCCCTAATCAAATGTATTGTAGGTTCAATATCCTCACTTATTTGTGATGTACAATACCACTCACATATGTAAAAAAGTTTCTGATTGATTTCATGCAGTTCTTTTTATTTCATCTGGTCAGATTGTCAGAATAAAAACAAGTGATCAGAAAATACTCCGTATGTCCTTGAGATTCTTTGTAAAATGGAAGGCATAACGTAACGGGTGATCACATAACAATTTATATCTATATATTTATATGATTTTTTTTATATAATTAATTTGAAGAGATAACATAGCAGGTGATCACAATAACAAATTTAATAACTTTTTAAAAACCACTTTCCAAAAACCAGCCAATCACCCATACTGTCCTTAAGTTGAGCAGTGTATACATTCATAGCCAATGCCACATTGGATACTGACTAGCCAAAGAGAAAAACTTCAAATAATTAATGTGATTATTCCATACATATTACATGGTAAAGAGTCTAACGAGACCAAGGAAGCACAAGGTAGTCCGACCACGAAGATTAAAAAAATAGTCATCGGTTTCCTGTGTTCATGTTATCATGTATCTGTATGTATTGCGTGCAAAGAAAAAAGAGAAAACTCCGTACTGTAATTCTCATATTTTGGTCTATGGTCACCCAATCTTGGACAACCTCGACATTTTCTCAATATTGAATCTGTGAAAACAGACCTTAAGATGTGGCAACAGCAGCATTTGTCTTCGATTTCTTGGGTGGTGGATTGCCACCAGAAATAACCACGTATACATAAAAGCACAACATTGCAGCACTGTTGTTGAAAGTATGGGGGAAAGTGTTAGACAATAGTATTAACATAAGAGCATCATTCACAACGAAACTGATGAAGTTGCTGAAATTGAGCCTCAAACTGCTTCTGGAAAACATTACTTCCACCTTTTTTAGTTGTTCCACTTTTCTCCTAAACTTTAATCAAAAATCAATTCCAGTGACCTTATTTAATCAAAATTGTGATTGTAGACTGACAGTTTTGCCCACTCCAAATGCGAGGGCTAAGCAAATGAGTCCACACTGAGAAACCTGACCGGACCTAAACCGATTACATAATGCTTCTCTGTCATCTTTGGTCTAACTTTTTTTAAGATTTCACTGCTGGTCTAGACTGGTAGAGCCGAAATTTATTTGCATAATATATATCTAGCTTATATCTAGTGGTACACAACTTTCAAATATGAACTTTTATACTTTAAGAAAAATGTCAATTTTTAAAAAATAAATACAATTCATGTCCAATGCTGGCTTGGTCCAATCAATGCCAGAATAGTCTCGTCCAGTCCAGTCCATGCTCAGAATTATACAGGTCTACGTCTAGTCCTCAATGATGAAGGAAAGAGCAACTTAAAAGAGACTGAGAGAGTATTAGAATTAACTGCATGTTTTCTTATAATACGGAGTACTAATGAGATAGGAAGAAGTATCACTTTCGCTCATTTCAGCAACTTTAGCCAAAAATCTTTTTGCATTACTTTTTTTCATCATCAAGCAAATCAACCCAAAGAGAAATACTCTCTTTAAGTTGGTGTTTGGTAAGAGTCTGGCAAATAAGAAGAAATAAGATATCAACACCATGCACTAAATGCAACAAGACACCATACCTTAAGATAGCATAAAGGCCAGTTGGGAATATTTTCTTAGTCTGCATGGAATACCACATCCCAATCAACTAAAGCATAAGTTGGCAATATTAAGTCACAAACATTATACTTCCTCCGTTCCATAAAAGTTGCAACATTGAAATTTCTGCACTATTCACACACCTTACTTTGACTATGATTTTCTAATAATATATATAATGAAAATATTATGTAAAAAATATTAATAAACTTGTATTAATGTAAATTTCCAATATATTAACTTTTTTTAATGTTTACTAATACGTAAATAAATATAATTACAGTCAAAGTTGCGCGTTGGCAAACGTGAAAGTCAAACTGTTGCAACTTTTATGGAACGGAGGATAGTATAAAGTATTGCAATACCAATGAGTAAGACAGCATATTCTTCTGTAAAAGAGAACCAGCAAGTACTGCATGTTCAAAAGTGTTACAAAACAATAAGAATCAGATTAATGGTACAACAAATACTCACACATACCAATCATAACCCCAATCTAATTGTGTTGATGAATAGATTCTCATTGATATAATCAACAACATCCAACAACATCCAAGCCTTAGTCCCAAATCTCATTGATATAATCAATGCAGAAAAAAAATTAGATGAAGGATGTTAAAAACGTCATTCCCAACCAGATATGCATACACATTAGCATCCAATAAAAGGTTCAGCAGCTTTTAAAAATCAATGCCATACTAATGGAATAATAGGCACAACAGATAAAATTATACAGAAATACAGAATCATTTTGTCCGACAATGTAAATGAGCTCTAAGAGACTTCTTAATGCAGTTTAAAATATTAGGCACGCATCTGAAGCCTCTCCAGAAGCGTGACGTAATTACAAGAACAATGGGTCAACATTTACTACCTAAATCATGATTCCCAGTTCCCACACTATGCCTCAATTACAACAGATATCTTGACAATTACTCCATCCATCCAATTTGAAGGTTGCCATTCTAAAATGACAAAGTTTTTAGGCTAGTAGTTAAGTGAAAAATAATTTAAAGTGTAGTTTGAGAACTAGTTGGCATGGGTGGGCATATAGTCGAATGGGGTAATTGATGATAATGGTATTGTTATTGATGTATTTGATTATTATGTTATCATTTGAGGCACTTAACTATTTCCTTGCCAAAGGATCCACAATTATTGGCAGCAGAAAGCAATACCTGCTTGGCCTAGTATAAATGGCAGGCTTGATTTTCCTTGCCTCCACACCTTCAAGCTAATACTGCTCAGAGCAAGCAAAGCACCTCCATATAGAACACCATGACCTAGATTAACAATATTTCTAGAGAAAACAAAACCAAGTAGTCCCCCACATAGAACAAAACCACCTGTGAGAACAGTTTTCCATTAAATAAAAGGTTAATAAGTAAAAACAAGTGTAAATAAGCTTTGATAATGAGGAAATGGCCTTTGAAGAAAAAGGGCTCTTGTTTTATTACACACATTTTGCAGGCAACCTAACAAGTAAAAAATATTCCAATTTGTGGTTATTTCCGTTCTTCTGGTGATAAACTCATTCAGCACATTACTTCTACAGTTCTATGTGAGGAAACTGCTGGAACTACTTACTAACGCTCCCATTTAACAAAAAACATGCATTACCCCTTGAATCTATAATTAAGGATGAGGTTACAACAAACAGGAACAGTTGAGTGTCTAATCTTGCTAAAATCAAGAAATTACGAGACAAAGGGGGTGTATGGGTCTGCTTCTAAAAACTCCTTCTACTCCTTCAGGAAGTAGAATCAGATATTGGAATGTTTGGGTGAAAGTGAAGAAGTACTTCTGGGTGCTCCAAATTACTCCTAGAAACAGTTCTATAGACGTTGGGAGAGACCAGCTTCTGAAAAACAGCAGCAGAATCGGTTCCAAACACCCCAAAATAAAGATTTTCACATTTGAAATGAAATTCCTACATAATTGGTTTACTTACCAAAGGGGATTCCGAAACAGAAATCATGAATTTTTGCAGCCCTTTTAGGTTGAGAGGAGTGATTTTCCCCTATCAGCTCATTTGTTTCTTGTAGTCGCTCACTCAAAGTATTTCCAGTTACAGCTTTTTCTTTAGCTGAAAGAGAGTTTTCTGATCTATTATAGCTCAGAGTAGCCCTATCATCTACACTGGATGAATCCGCCCCACGCCCATCATTACTCATACATGCTAAAACCTGAAGACAAAGTGATGTAAGCCGTTAAAACCATGTATCTTAAACTAAGAAAATACGTAGTATAATGCAACCAAAATCAGCATTCATATTGTAGGCGTGTTAACAGGTGCAGAAAGAAGTTCAAATTCAAAGCATCCGTCAATCATAACTCAAACTCACACTTAGGTTTTATCTTGATTCCCGTGCAAATCAGCACATTTTAGTTGTTCTTACTTCTTATGAAGTGAATTTACCACTGATTATGAATTACATATGTTCGATTTGTGAAATGATAATAAAATAATGACAAGAAACAATAAGCAAATGGTCAAGAGATTTAAAGTTCGATTTTGGGGCGTCATTGGATAAACACTGTCAACATAACAGGAAAGGAAAAACGTTTCAGCGAACGATAAGAGATCACAAACCTTGTAGCGAGGAGAAGGAGGCGGAAAGAATTGTGGATGGAGCTGAGGACGGAGACTTAAGGAAGAGTGGTAACAGAGCTTAGAAATTGCCGAAGACGACATAGCTACCGGGTTTGTCGATGGTTGCTGATCGGGTGGCAAAAAATCTATAAAGATGAAACAAATTTCATTTTTTAGATTTTCCAAAAAGATTTGTTTTTCCTATTTTCGTAGATTCGTAAGGAATATGTGATTAAAATTAATTCTCTCTCCTATACACAAATTTCAACCCTACAATTTTTACTTTATTAATCCACGTAAAAGTAAACTTTGATAAATCTTTTGGGGACGGAGGAAGTATAATAAAACTCAAAAGTGACCGCGCCATTTTGGGCCGGAAGTGTGAAAATGCCTGGCCTTTAAATGTGGACTATTCCTGGAACATTCTTTGAGAGATGTCTTTTGGTATTACCAACGTATTGATCAGTAAAATATTGGCAGAACATACTAAACGACTGATGCATTTAATACTCCCTCCGTTTCTCATATATCTTCCCACTTTCCTTTTTTAACCGTAACATTCATATCTTCTCATTTCTAAATATGGAAATAAATAAATACCAAATGTTCAATTCTACCCTCAATTATAGCCCTTGTAATTCCCATGGTACCCTTGCTTTTGAATTTAAAATTAGAATATGGCCAAATAGCCATCAGATGTCGGCCCACTAAAACCCTACCCCAAGTCCAAAATGAACGTTAGTCTAAAACACCTAACCCTACTTGTTTCCCGACTTCATCTCTCACCTCTAAACTATTCCGCCTCCATAAAATAAATCCTAGCTACGTATTCAACTGCCGACCTCAACCATTCAGACTTCCATGGAGCCCGAAATGAATCAGATCGCTACTCCCTCTGTTGCCGGCGACCTTTCTGTAGGCCTAGCGTCGCCCTCAGAGGAGGTCCTAAATAAATTCGTCGGAGATTCCCTTCACTCTACGAAATCGACTTCATTTACTCCTCTGGTTCCCGATGCCATTGATTTTCTCTCTGATTCTGAAAGTTTTCCTTCCCCAGAGTGGTATCTTTCTCCATCAGACACTGATGACACCGATCCGACTTGGAAGTGGAGGAAGCTTTACGAAGGGGAGATTGTCCCTGACAGTGATGATGGCTTTGAGGGCCTTGACGACATGTGGATGGAGGTCTCTTCGAAGAGGGAAGCGACGCCAACACATGTCTATGTTGTTGACAAATGATGAAGGAATGTTGTAGTGAAGTTGTTATTACTTTAATTCATTTCTCTATTGTCTGATAATTGCATGTTTTACTTTGCCATTAAATCAGTGACTTGTGTTGCTTATGCTTGATAAATACTTTCTGATTTTGCTTGATGAACTATTGTGTGCTCCACATTGTTATGACACTTTTTGGCTTGACTGTACTCATCCCATGGCTGTGAAGAATTTATGAGGGCTAGCTCTTAGTTACATGACAAACTATGTCTTGCCTGTGATGATTGCTTTCTGAGGCTAACACAAAAATAAAATGAGGATCCTATAAAGTGGCAGGCTTCACCCCTTGGATTATCCTATACATGTGAAAATAAAATGAGGGCTAACACTATCCTTTGATCGAAATGATTATTTGGGCTGAGTGTTGTTATGTCTTGCCTGTGATGATTGGTTTCTGAGGCTAAGTGTAACCTTTCAATCTACTGCCAGTGATGAAACAGTTTTCATTGGCTAAGTTTGAATTTTGAATGACACTTATTTGGACTGATTTTACATATGCCATCCCTGTGATGAATATAATCTGAGGGCTAACTATAAACTATGAATCTGTTTTCATGGTTATAACTTTTTCTTATTATAAAGCTTCTCGCCTTTAAGAAACTGTTTTCAAGGCTAAGTTTAAACATTGAAAGGTGTGACTTTTTGAGGTTGTGTGTGCAGCCAGTGTTGAATTTGTATTTGTAAGGCTAAATGCTTAATTATTCTGACTGTACTCATGCCATGGTTGTGAAGAATATAAAATGAGGGCTAACACTAAACTTAGAATGAAATGATTATTTTGGTTGAGTGTTGTTATGTCTTGCCTGTGATGATTGGTTTCTGAGGCTAAGTGTAACCTTTCAATCTACTGCCAGTGATGAAACAGTTTTCAATGGCTAAGTTTAAATTTTGAATGACACTTATTTGGACTGATTTTACTGATACCATCCCTGTGATGAATATAATCTGAGGACTAACTATAAACTATGAATCTGTTTTCATGGTTATAATTTTTTCTTATTATAAAGCTTCTCGCCTTTAAGAAACTGTTTTCAAGGCTAAGTTTAACCATTGAAAGGTATGACTTTTTGAGGCTGTGTGTGCAGCCAGTGATGAATTTGTATTTGTAAGGCTAAATGCTTAATTATTCTGACTGTACTCATGCCATGGTTGTGAAGAATATAAAATGAGGGCTAACACTAAACTTAGAATGAAATGATTATTTTGGCTGAGTGTTGTAATGTCTTGCCTGTGATGATTGGTTTCTGAGGCTAAGTGTGACCTTTCAATCTACTGCCAGTGATGAAACAGTTTTCAATGGCTAAGTTTAAATTTTGAATGACACTTATTTGGACTGATTTTACTGATGCCATTCCTGTTAATGATATGAATTTTGAATATAATATGAGGGCTAACTATAAACTATTAATGATATCATGGTTAGTATGAATCTGTTTTCATGGTTATAACTTTTTCTTATTATAAAGCTTCTCGCCTTTAAGAAAATGTTTTCAAGGCTATGTTTAAACATTGAAAGGCATGACTTTCTGAGGTTGTGTGTGCAGCCAGTGATGAATTAAACACTTATTTGGACTGATTTTAGTAATGTCATCCCTATGATGAATATAATCTGAAGGCTAACTATAAACTATGAATGATATCATGGTTAGACTCCTCTTCTTTTCCATTTCACACAAGAATAAAAACACATGATATTCCACTCAATTGCCTCATGTCTAACCATATTTATTCTTATTCAGGCATTCCATCTATCAATATTAAATATGAGTGTTTAGTGAGAAAATAGTTAAGGAGAGGTAACAAGAATGGAAAAGTATGAGATTCTGAAGCACATTGGTTCTGGGAATTTCGGAGTTGCTAAGCTGGTGAAGGATAAGTTCAGTGGGGAGCATTTGGCTGTCAAATATATTGAGAGGGGCCATATGGTATTTTTATATTTATATTCTTTGAGCTTGTTTATAAGTTCTGCCATTAATTTACCACTTATTACAATCTGGGTTCATCTTTTGTTAATAGATTGATGAACATGTTCAGAGGGAAATCATGAATCATAGGTCCCTGAAGCATCCCAACATCATTAGGACTGCATACACGTAATTGCTAATTTAAATGAAAACGAATCAAAAATTTATAACACTCAAACAGAAAATTAATGGAATTGAAATGTTACATTCATTCCTAAATTAAGATAAGGTAAAGGCCTGAATATTAAGCAATATCTCCTCATATAGCTCCCTAGTCACCCCAAAGGTCCGAGGTAATAGGCCATGCCTTTGTAATGCATCCTTTCCCAAATGCTTCAATTTGTAATCGTTTCCTCCCCCACATTTGAGCACATCTTGCATCACACATTGATAGGTTAGAAAAACCTTTTCTAGGGTGTTGGCTGATAGTTCATTATAAGCGTCTTCCACATTTCCAACTAATTCAATGAGTGAATTGCTAGGCTTTTGGTCTTTTAGGGAATCAATGGCTCGAAAAAACCCGAGATCTAATACATTTAAATCAGGGCTGTTTGGTGGTTGGCATTGCAAGGTTATATTCCAACCATCAGCAGTTGCTTCTCTGTGAAAATCTGCATCGTCAATGAGCATATGCGGTTTCGCATTGTCTTGTTGAATGATGATATTCCTGTTATGCACATCTGGCCATTTTGCTTTAATTGCAGGCACTAACCTAGATAGAAACATTTCTTTCATAACTTCCCGGGTTATACTAGTAATAGGTTTAACTTCTAATGACCCTCTTGGCCTATTTCTACTTGACCGAATGGCAGCCTCGAGGTATGTGAAAGGCCAAATTCCTAGCTTTCCATCCCATAACACTTCCCCTCCCTCACCAAACCTAGGCCTACTCACAGCTGCCAAAAACATTATTTTTGGAATAAAATTCTTTGATTGAGCACTTCTGTATGGATCAGGTTCATCATTTGCCAAGTAGAATTTATCAGTTTCCTTGGTGGTGTTAAACCACTTCTCATCTATGTGAATGTACTCATACATGTGTGTAAAAGTCGGGTTAAATGGAATAGACTCCGGGTTTAGTAAACCCAAGCAATGTTGTAACCTTTTAAGTTTACCATTATCCGTTAATCGAGGTTTTAGGGCGTTGGTGTGTCTCCTAAGTTGTTTTTTCTGTAATAGTCTCCACATAGTCGTGTGTGACACTCCCATCGCATAACCAAGTGATCTAAGATTTTTTCTAAATTGAAGTGGTACATCTTTAAGCTTTTCCAAATCAAGATGAATACCTTTTCTGCTCGCACGACCTGCATAACATCTGTCCACATTAACTACCCCCCCTTCCAATAGTTGTAGCTTTGCTTTTTTCCATATCGAGTACACCGATCTCCTACTCGTGTTAAAGATACGCGCAGTTTCACTAATAATGCCCTTCTGAAGTTTACCCCCGTTGTGTTGTTGTAGCAATTTTTGTGTAATTCGATTCCTTTCATCAATGCTCAATTTTGTTCTTCTTGAATGTAATGCAATAGGCTGCTGCATGTCCATGTATGTGTTATGACCATGACTCTCTTCATTTGTACTGTCTGTGTTTTCTTCAATGAAAACAATGTCTAATTCTTCTCCGGTATTTGTGTTTTCCACACTAGGGATTTCATTTAGGTTGAGGAGGGGAGCATGGAGATGCTGCCAAGACAGATTGGGAAGAAAATTTAAATCTGGGATGCAAGAGAGCAGATTGCTTCTCATTTTCCCTACTTTTTGGGTTGTGGATTATTTTATGTAATCAAATACATGTATATATAAGAACATAGCTGGACTGTAATTTGAAAATGGAGGGAGTATGAAATATTTCCCACCAAACAGTCTCATTTAAACAATTCAGATTTTGTGCATATGTGACCTAACTTTTTGGACTTATCCAATTATTTGTCAGCAGTCTTGCAGA